GAGCACCGCCACTCTTGTCACACCGCCCTTTCTCGTGCCCTAATTACTTCCCCTAGTACCGGCGTAGTTCGTCCCTAGTGTGGCGAATTGCGTCCCGTGATCGAGGGGCAAGATTTAATAATGCATATTGTTTGTAGATTTTACGCATGTAATAAGCAAAGATTTGACGTACTATATATTGGTTTTGTTTTTTGAAGCTAGATGGCCGACCCGAGAAATATGGATGAGGAGGAGTTGATGATGAATTTGATCAACACTGGCACTCAAGTTGCCGGCGATGATGGTGCTAAAAATAACATGCAAGAGGATGTAGATGACGGGAGTCAGTACTTAGCTCTTGAACAAAATGAGCAACAACATATTGGCCAAGTATATATTTTTTATTATTAGCTATATATATATATTATCATATGTCCTATGTGTGCTCATATGTCCTATATATATATATTATCATATGTCCTATGTGTGTATATGCATATAAATTATCCTAACAAGTACTATATATATGCAGATTTACAATGACAGAGCTCAGAAAGGAAGGCTGCAATGAAATTGGTTTTGTTGATCCCCATATAGTATTCAAAGACCCAATTACTCCAATGACTAATTGGAAGTCTGAGTCAGAGAGTAACCTCATGAACTTCTTAGTGAACCAACGCCACAAGAAGGATATACTCTTTCCCTATAACTTCAAGTGAGTGTTAATCATGTCGATCATAGCCTTAATGGCTCATATGTTGATTCTAGTTAATTAATGAGTGTTATGCGTTATATCCTATAAACACATGCAGCAATCACTGGATATTGATGGACATCGATCTGGTGAAAAGTCACTTGATAATCTATGACTCGATGAGAAAACCACAACAAGACTACCAAGATATGATAGATATTATCCAGAGGTAATTTCGAGATCTCTAGCAACTATATATACACACAAACATGATGATTAACTATATCGATGACGTGGCAAATTTTTTATTAGGCAAGTGTTTGGAAAACCTTTATTGAGAAGCAACACATGGAAAAATGCAAAGCGCCAATTGAATGTAATCCCTTTGAAAGTAAGTCCCCGAATCGCATCATCTTTATTAATTCAACATATAGCTTTCACCGGATCACCAGATTGGATGACAAATCTTTTTCTCGTAAAAGTGGTGTCTAAAGCAGAACAGGGGAACAACTACATGGTTACTATGTTTGCAAGTTTATCAAGGTGCTCTCCCAAAGAACTCCTACTGAGAGAGACTCAAAGTACGTTAAAATACACTATATATTCATTTAATTATTATTATTGATTGTGTTACTATGTCTTTATATATATATATATGTACATATATTAATTTATTTTCCTTTAATTCAAAACTCAGTAGACTCGATGGTTGGAGGAAAAGGTCATACTGGCAAGACCAAATCAAAGCAATTCAAGAGTCTATAGCCGGATTTTTTAATGAGCAGGTCATCGATTCCAAGGGCGAGTTCTACTTGACCCAACACCGCCATTGAAGCCAAGCTAGAGGATGAGAAGAAACTTGTTATGTCACAACAACTATAATGCAATCTTTTGTAATATATGCACATGAAATAATATAATGTAAAATACACATATGCATGCATGCATGTAAATATATATGATGCATGCATGCATATATATATATATATATATATATATATATTTCTATGATTGAATTGTGTGATTTAATACGTTCATTGTGCTTGACCGAAACATACTATATGCAGCGTATAAATGTATAATTAGCAGCGTGCATAATACGACTTCGAAAACCTATTTTGAAAAGAAAACAAAAAATGAAAAGAAAAGAAAAAAGAAAAAACCTTTAGTCCCGGTTCAGATATTAACCGGGACTAAAGGTGCCGGCCATCGTGGCATGTCAGGAGGCACCTTTAGTCCCGGTTGGTGTTACCCACCGGGACTAAAGGTCCTCCTTTAGTCCCGGTTCCTGACCCGGGACTAAAGGACCCCCCCTTTAGTCCCGGATGCTTGCTCCCGGGTGGGGAACCGGGACTAGAGGGGGTTCCCCACCGGGAGTAAAGCTCGGTTCTGTACTAGTGGTTGTTTGGTCATCTGTTCATCCGACATGGTCGTTCTAACATTGTTCACAAATCTTATATATCTCTTGTAGTTTCATAAACTACAAGAGAGATATGTTAGATTTATGAACAAATTTATTTTCACTTTGTCGTATGAAGAAAATACCAAAACAAACATTGTACATCTTAATGAGTTATACAACTTTGTAGTTGAAAACTGTTTCATTTGAATTAATTTACTGTTTCAAAATGTGCATTGAAATTTTCTTTGCCGAGTGTCAAAAAAACACTCGGCAAAGAAGCTTCTTTGCCGAGTGTCAAAAAAAACACTCTGGCAAAGAAGTTTTTTTTGCCAAGTGTAAATTGCATGTTTGAGGCCCTAAACGAATTCAAATAAAAAAGTTGTAAACTACAAAGTTTCATAACTTTTCGAGATCTACACTTTTAGCTTAGGAAGTATTCCTATCAGAGGTCGTTTACAAAATTTGAATTTTAAAATTTTAAAATTCAAACATAGTTTTGCATGACAAGATGATTTCAAATCAAAAAGTTGTCAATTACAAAGTTTCATAACTTTTCGAGATCTACAAAGTTTATTTTGGTTGTTTGATCATCTGTTCATCCGACATGGTCGTTCTAACATTGTTCACAAGTACGAGCACATGGTCTACCAAGGATGAAAGAATTTAGCCTGCATGAAAATGGGCTAGGATCCAAACAAAATGCAAAGGATCTTGGAATCAATTTGAGGTGGGGCTGCAACCCACATATTACTAACGGTAACCGAGTTGTTCCATGGTTTGACATAAAATGGTGTGGAAAATATACACAACATAGTTCAAATCATGACACGTAACCTGCAACTGGTGTCAACAAATAGACTACAAGAACCATGAAAGGAAGCATAACAAATATATGTATCACTCCGGTTCATGGCTTCAACCGGTACTCATACATGGATTTTCATTGCCGGTTCTTGGCTACAACCGATAGTGATAGACTGTTTTGCAAAAAAAAAACACAACAAATAAATGTCACTCAGTTGATCGAAGGGTGAACTACATAAAAGTTTACTATTTTTGTTATCATGTATTGTATTTTTTAGCCTATAAGTTTGTATATGTTGACTCTTTGTATACATCAACTCATTATTATATGAATAAATAAATGTCTATTTGTATGATTGACGTATCTTGTGATGGATGTTATTGTACTAATGATGTGCTAAACATGTGGTAACTGGTTGTGATGTTAGCATCCATGTCACTGTAAATAACGATGTGGCTATTCAATCCATGATGATTATTTTCCGTCACAAACACTGGGCTTGGGTTGGGCTAAGTGGCCCTTGGGCTGATCTACGATGATGTAAAATCGTCATGGATTGTGTTAATTTGTAACGGTTTTCGCACAATTGTGCTAATTTGTGACGGTTTTTGCACAACTCTGGCTACACGAAAAACTCGAAGCTTGTTAGCTCGCTCGACTCGTGGTTGGCTCGGCTTGGCTCGTTTGATAACGAGCCAACTCAAGCCAGCTCGCAAGCCGCTCAAGAGGCAAACGAGCCACGCTTCTAGGGGAAAAACAGCAGAACTTATATTAGTTTTTTAGTACTTCATGTCTTGCACTTTATAATTGGTTGATGACTAGTCTAGACCCTATAAACTTGAGATTATTATGACTTTATCATTTTGTTTTTAATGAATGTATGGATAGTTGTGAACACATTATATATGGTATGAAGTATGGACCATGGATGTATGATGTAATCCTATAATATATTATTATACTTGTACATATGTTAGCATATTTTAATTTTTTGTTCGATTTAAGGCTGTTGGATGTGTTATTTTTGTATTATTACTATTCTCAAGCTTTAGATAAATGCAAATATTATATTTTGTGTATTTTTCTATACTTGGCTCACGAGCTTAACGAGCCAGCTTAAGCTCGTAAACGAGCCGAGCCGAGCTGGCCTTTTGGCTTGTTGAGATAACGAGCGGAGCCAAGCTAGCTCGTTATCTTAACGAGACAGAACGAGCCGAGCTGAATCGAGGTGGCTCATTATCCAGCCTTATGCACAACCATCACGCACGTCAATCCATGACGCGAAATACATGATGATATCCAAAACCATCACAAATGTTGTTTTATGATGGTTTTTTGAGATATGTGACCGAAGTTAACCGTCATGTATTAACAGGTTTCTTGTAGTTGATTGATGCTGCAAAGGTATTCAAGCTCCATACAAGTGTAAGGTGTTGTTTGGATCCGGGGGATTCTAACAATCTAGATAGAAAAAAATCTCAAAATCCTAAAGTTTCATCCAAACACCCTAGGATTGTAGACGATTGTAACACATGGATACAAGATCCAAGAAATATCAGAGATTGTTTTTATTCAGAATTGAATTTTAGAATCCAATCCAAACATGCCCTAAATTTGACAAAGGAAAATATTCAATGTGAATGTGACAATATATCTTATTATATATACAACAAATAAATGTAGATGGTATAATAAATATTTCCTCAAAATTAAAAAAAACAATAAGGTAACTGCTTCCGTGTCTGTAGGACTTTCCTGGCGTAACACGCCCAGAATATATGACATGATGTAAAACTCTAATCTAATCTCAGAGATCCACAATCCACGGAGGGATCCAAATCTCCGATCCCAGGCATCACCGCGGTTCCTGTCGCACTGCAGCCCTTGCACCGGCCGCCGCCAACCACAACGAGTCGATCGAGTTCATGATGTCCTCGACGTCAACCTCGACCTCGATCCTGTTCCGAGTCGATTCGTAGGACACCACAACTCCCACCCCTACCCGCTCCCACAATACTCATATAAACACGGCCACAGCGACAATCCCAAAATTCACAACGCATATCCGAACACAGACACCGAATAAGACTCCTAAGAAAGAAGCTTGAAGAAGAACGGCGATGTCATCCCGGCGGTTCTTCGACTATGACCCCTACGAATACGAGTACGATCCCTACGACTACAACTGCTACTACACCGCCGCCCCGAACAACTACCCCTACGACGTGTACTACCAGCGGTTGCCCGTTCCCACCCTCAGCTGCAAATCCGGGGGCATCTTTGCTGGCGCCGAGCCGGCGGCCGTGAAACCCACGCCCAGGGAGAGGGAGAGAAAGACGTCGTTCTCGATCCCAGTACACGGGCCCGACTCGGATCCCAAGCCGGAGCGGGAGCGGGAGCGGAAGGCGGCGGCGCCGGTGGGGGCACGAGCGGAACCGGTGGCGCCGGCGATGTCAGCGGAGGAGGCCGCGGTGAGGATGCAAGCGGCGGCGCGCGGGTTCCTGGCGAGGAAGTCTGTGCGGGCGGTGCGTGAGGTGCAGTGGGAGGCGGAGCAAGTCCGGGTGAAGATGGTGTCAGAGGCGGAGGCCCTAGTCGCAGACCCCAGGGCGAGCGTCGCCGTCGGGAAGGCGCTGATGAGGATGCTGCTGCGGCTCGACGCGGTGCGCGGCGCGCGGGAGTACAGGCGGAGGGTCACGAAGCGGGTGCTCGCGCTGCAGGATGCCGTCGACGCGCTCGAGACTAAGCCGGCGCCGGCGCCTGCTCCCGCGTTTGTGGGGGAGGAGGCAGAGGCCAACGCACCGGAGGCGATGGTTGCCGAGATGGCGGAGGAGAGCGCGGTACCGCCGGAGCAGCTGGATGGTGCGGAGCGCGGTAGTGAGATGGAGAACATCAAGAACGCGGTTCACACGACCATCCAGATGGATGTCGACAAAGCAATAGCCGCCGGTGAGCCTGAAGCGAAAGCAGCAGAAGAAGAGGAAAAGGAAGTGGTGCCGGGTGATGCCAATGTTGATGTCGACGAGCCGGAGGATTGGGCCGCCGAGGGCGAGTGGGAGATGGTGACTGAGGAAAACGAACACGCTGCACCCGTTGCAGCCACGTCCGACGACCCGGAGCCACCGCGCAAGGAACCGGCGTACCCGTTGGAGACCACGAGGACTGCAAGCGCTGGCGCTGCCTCCTATGGCGTGGACGCGAGGAAGGTGATGGAGATGGTGGCGGCGCTGTGCGAGCAGAGCGCGAAGCAGTGTACGGTGATCGGCGCGCTGGCCGAGCGTGTGGATGCGCTGGAGCATACCGTGCGGCGGATGGAGGACGCTGAGAGCTGCCGCTGGTAATCCACGAAGCTGAACACAGAGGGCAAATGAAGGAACAACAGCAAGTTTTACAGCGATTGATGACGCACAGGCATTAATAGAGATTTAAACAGTTTCGTAATTTTGCATTGCTTCTAATGTCGGCCTTTACTATTCCAGACATTGGATTGTTTAAATTTATTTTGTTATTATTATAGTAATGGAGTTCTTCGTAGTTCTAGTTCATTTTTTCCCGCACCTCTTGAACTCTTGGTCTTGAGTGTTGAGACTACAGTACTACATAGCGAAGCCCAACGCACCAGCAGAGGAAGAGGCCTCTGCAACAATCTGAGATGATTAAATCCTGAATGGGGAAGAGCAAGCTGGAAAAGGAGGGGTATTCACCGGTGAAGTCTGTGAATCGGTGTTTGCCTTTCCAGTTGCCATACATGAATCCGTCGACAAACTAGGCAGCTCCTTACGGTGCTAGGATTCGGAGATGAGGCGGTACCAGGAGCGACACACACACTTGCAGCTGCACAAGGTGCGGGTGGTGAGGCGGCGGAGGATAAGGACCAAGATATCGTCTATTAGGATGTCTATTTCGTTCCTCTTATTGGTGGCCTCCTCCTCCATCTTGACTAGGATGTGGTGGAGCGGGGCTGGCGATGGAAGTGACAGCGTTGTAGCATGAATCAGAGTAGGGGCACCTGCGGGAATGTGCTCGTGAGCTCCTTAATGATCAGATGGAAGCTTGATTCATACTTAGATGAGATAAGAGGGGAATAAAAAAGCCAAGAAACATGGATAAGGGAAGTGCGAGAAGGCATTACCCTTGCTTTTGGATCTTGCGGCAGTGAGCTCGAACAGCCACGGCGGTGACGAGTACCAGCATGGTCACCGGTGGATCTGTGCGGGCGTGCCGTTGAGGCATACTAGCGCGGAGCACTAGGTTGTCGGCGGTGAGTGGCGGCTTAGACGCCGATGAGTAGGAGAGGATTAGCAGCACTTGAGGAGGAGACGGACAGGGTGGCGGCCGGGTGGGTAACTGTCTTTGTAAGCTAACTACAAATGCGCCAAAAATTCTAAAAACGCACGGGAGTCTCGCGCTGGCTTGCAAATTTTCATGATGTCGGCGGCGAAGGCTACCAGCGGTGGTGATTGGGTCTTAAAGAAGATGGTACGTAGCACCTAACGACGGGTGTGTCATACGGAAATTGAATGTTGGAAAGGAACAAAATATTATGAACATTATTTTTGCAGGTTACAGCAAGTGCATGAGATCGATGCTGAGGCAGACCGCTATGTCTTTCAAGTAAGGCAGTTCCCATAAGATTGACATTTTCTTCCACCTCTTCTTATCAGCAGTCTTTGCTTTTTCACTGCGCTTTTGCTTTCCGAGGACAGTGCTTTCCAGGTCAACTTTAGGTGTGGTATCCTCTACCACCTAGTCATATACCTGTTGCCCGCTGAAATGCCTTGGTGTAGATCCTATCTCCCTAGTGCCATCAAACTGACGTTTCATCTCCCGGTATGGATGAGACTTAAGAAGGAAACGTCGGTGCCTTACATAGACCCTCTTCTTTGACTTATTCAGCCAAACAGTCTTCGTGTCATCTAAGCAATGAAAGCAGTCTTTTTCTCCTTTGCTCTGCCTAGACATGCTATGATGTCCTGGAATATCAGTGATAGTGGTGAAGAGCATGGCACGTAGGTTGAAATGTTCTTTCCTGAACCCATCATACACCCTGATACCCTCTTCCTTCCAGAGTTCCTTGAAATCATCAATAAGCGGCCTCAGATACACGTCAATGTTAACACCTGGTTGACATGGACCAGATATCAGAACTGACATCATCATGTACCTCCTCTTGTTACACGACCATGGGGAAGGTTGTAGATAGTTAATAGCACACAGGCGGACACTATGTGAGCTACTCATGTTACCAAATGGGTTCATGCCATTTCGTCTTTGAGTGCAAACCAAAAATTCCTTGGCTCATCAGCAAAAGCTAGATTCTTCAAATCAATGACCCGCCACTGAATACCATCTGCTGGGTGCCGTATGTAATCATCAACCGTCCGCCCATCCAAGTGCTAGCTCAACAGTCGTGCATCCTTGGAGGTTGCAAACAAACATTTCAGGAGAGGAATTATAGGGAAGTACCAAGCAACCTTCCTAGTAACTCTACGGCGTGTCTCCTCGCCATCATCACCCTCGTCAGTTCTTCGCTTGTAATGAGAGGTCCCACACTTGGGGCATTCAATGAGGGTTGCATTGTCACCATGGAACAAGATGCAGTCTTTCTTGTAAGCATGAATTTTCTCGAACTTCAATCCCATCGGACAAACAATCTTCTTAGGCTCATATGTAGTCCTGGTATTTGATTCCCCTCAAGAAACATATCTCCGAGCACTTCTAGCAATTCTCTGAAGCCCTTGTCAGTCTAGTGATGTGCCACCTTCAGTTGGAGAAGCTTTAGTGAAGCGGACAACTTCGTATACCTCTCATTGCAACTCGGATAGAGTGGTGTCTTCATATCTTCCAACAGTTGCTTCACTTCTTGAACTCAAACAGTGTACCCATCAAAGCCAAAGGCATCACGCATCTAGATTCTCAACCGTAGGGACAGGGCTAGCAGCAATCTCTGCTACATCATCATCATATAGTTCCTCATTGCCAAAGGGTGCTTCCTCATTGCCACCGGCACAAGTTTCATGAAGTCCTTCCTCACCATCTCGCTCATTGACACCTTCTTCTCCATGTTTGTTCCAACATCTATAGTCATCCATGAATCCTCGAAGAATTAGGTGGGCATGGACTGACAACTGATTCGAGTACCGCTTCTCATTCTTACAGTCAACACATGGGCACAACATACATGACTTATGTCCATTCCTCATGTCCGCCTCTGCAACAGCTAGGAAATGTTTCGGTCCTTCCAAGTACTAATTACATGTATGGTTCTGAAGATACATCTAGTGGCCTCGATCCTCCATAGTCTCCAAAAGAAGCACACGCCAAAGAAGAGGAGGTCGAATAGCAAAGCACACTGGGGACCAGGGAGGAGAGCTAAGCATGTCGGCGATCCCCTGCAGCTCGAGATGGTGAAGAACGGTCGGAGCATGCCTGATCGAGTACACTACAGAGAGGAATGAGTTCGAGTCAGACTCGAGCTCGACCACAACCATGGTAGTGCGGCGGACATAGAACGGCAGCACAGTGGTGCTCCGGCCGATACAACATGGTAGAGGTTAGTCGAAGGGCTCAGGCAGCATTAGCAGCTCACTGCGATGTCGATGCGCAGCTTGGTTGAACCGGGGACGAGGAGGAGTGAGATGGCTGGCGATGATGGCGCGTGCAGCGGCGCGAACTGGTGGCGAGGTCGCCGTTCCAGCGTGACCTGTTCATTAGAGGTAAAAGAATGGAGCCGATGAGCCTCACGGAGTTGTAGGAGAGCTAAAACAATAAACGGGATCACTAGAGGAGTGCCGGATCACTAAACGGGGCCGCAGCGGGATACCTCTATGTGTGTGCCTTGAAAAGCACACGTACAATATTGTGTTGATCTCTTCAAGAAGTTCTAGAAAAACTGTAAGTTCACTTCATAAAATTGAATCATTAATTGGTGTTTGATAGTGATTTTATTCTCATCACTTTTTTCAGAAGAAACTTATTATCCTGGTTTTGGACTCCATGCTGCTACTCAGTCCTAAAAAAACAATAACTTTGACACATTTAGTTGTTAAGCTGTTAATAAGTGTTTCACCAGCAATCGATTTTCAGTGAGTAGTGTCGGGCTTAAATTATTAAATATTGAATTGATAGCTGGAATTTTCATGTAGTGTCTGGACTTTCCTCACATCACCAACATAGATACATAGCAGAAATAATTGACTGAGACAGGTTTGGGTTTCAGGCTCGCCACCGTCGACGGCTTCGAACCTGGCCAGCCGATCGACTTCACTGACCTCTTCAAGGAGGACGACCTCATCTATGTGTCTGGCAACTCCATCGGCAAGTGGTTCCAAGGTACACTAATTCTCACACCTCCATCCATCACTGTACTTGGGTACTTGCAATGCCAGCAACAATAATTATCCCACATTAATCCGCAAGCCTCCGGTTGTATTGTATGTATCATTCCGTTTCTTGGAGAGCGATGTTAGCAGCATTTGCAATTCTTGACTGAAAATTGTATGCCTGGCGGTTGTGTACATCTTTTGTAGGTGGAGAATGGAGAATTCCAAGAATAAATGCTATATGTAAGGGACCTCAGACGGAATTCCAAATATACATTCGGTCATTTAATTCTGGTGTGTTGATTGCTTACATTTGTGTAGAAAAAACACTTGGATTTCCTTTTTATTCCGTCATACCGCGTCATTGAATAATATATTCTGATGGCTAGAAATATCAATTTTGTACACTAGAGTAATTTTAAGAAGACCATTTCCATTCTTGAGAGTCAATGAATTAGCTTCTATGCTTTGGAATGGTATTTTGTATTTACTAAATTTATTTTAAAGATAACCTGTTTATTATAAAAGGTAGGAATTTGTTTAATAAAATAAAATAAGTATAAATTCATCAATATAGTTGAAAAGAAACTTGAAACAACATGCACCAGATACGCTCCCTCAGTTCTAAGTGCTTGTTACTGTGACCATATACCAAAGGAAATCAATTTTTTCAAAATTTTATTTGTTAATATTTCAATTTGGGTATTCCCACACAATATTCCCTTTTCCCTATTATTCTATTTAAAATGTTTGCAGTTAATTTAGTTAGTATGTTGTATTGTGGACGTGACTCTTTTCTTTACCTATTGGTACACAAGTGAGGTTATGGGATGCTGAAAGAAGAAGCTATATTGGGATTGGCAAAGGCCATCTGAAAGTTGTTGGTTCTTTTGCCTTCTCAAAGAAAACAAAAACTTTTTTTTGGTGGCAGGTTTGATTCATTTTTAGGGGGTGTTTGAATCCGGTGACTAAAATTTAGGAGGTGTCACGTGAGGGTGTCGCATGGGGTATTCGGATAC